CCACAAAATCTGCCTTTGCTCCCAATACAGAGGTGCCAGCAGGGGAGAGTTTGGTCAAAGAGCGATGCCCTACTCAATTGGTGCCAGTAAGGGAGATGATTCATTTAGTGCTCAGAGCTAACTCTAAGAGTCAGCTCCCCAGTTGCTGCTGATCAGCTTAACTCTGTTTGCTTTAGTTGAGCTACATGGGTTTACAACAGCTGGGAATCTGCCTCTCTTTTCCTTTGCTGTAATTTAACTGCCCATTTTTAAATGTTGGATTCAGTTGTTAGACCTTTTCCTGCAAATTTCTAACCCTCCTGGCCTAGAGGAAACTGCTAACTCTGGAGTTTTTCAGTGCCATTTACTTTGCAGAAACACAGCTGAAATAGATGGGAGGGTAAGGAAGGATGTTTGCAGCTTCTCTGTCCCAGTGGGAACCGGCCTGCTAGCTTGGCTTCCAAATCAGATTTCCCCCAGCACAGTAGAAGCTGCAATCCTTATTAAAATAAAACGTCCTTTACCAGGTCCCCATCCAAAGCTGAGCCAGCTAAACAAGCCCCTTTTCCCATCTCAGGAAAGAATCCACATGGCCCCTTCCAGGGATAGAGCTAAGGATGAAATATATCTTTTAAATCTTCCTCTGCCCATCCTGTGCTGATTATGGCAGGATATGCCATGGCATATGGCATGATATTCATTCACAGGTGAAGACTCGTTCTGGAAGAGATCTGAGCTGGGACTAAAAGGAAAGGCAGGATGGAGGAACAGAGCCAGAGGAGTGGTAATTGTTGCCTGGCACCATTCAGAAGTGGGACATTTCTTGGAGTAAGTTCTGCACACTTTAACTCTGCCGAGAGAATTATATTTTATACTCAGACTGTTCATGCATTGCACACAGCCTTTCTCTTGCACTGGGTTTTGTGCTTAACCATGCTTTTGCAGAGTGAAGTTAGTCTACATATAACTCTACAGCTAGACCAAAACTGTCCACGGCACTAATTCCATGTGACCCCATATCCCCCCTCAAAACTATAGACAGCACCATTAGAAACAAGTGTTTTCTCCTCACTGGCTGAAGCAATGGCATCTTCCCTCTCCTGTATCCCTCCTACAGTTGCAGAAAGGTGAGGGCAACAGCACGCATGGCTTTTCCTCTGGAGAAGCTACAGCAAGTATTGCACAGACATTACCGGGGATGGGAGATGGGCCCAGAGCTGGAGCTGGCTCAAGCACAAGTATCTAGAGACAACTTGGTTAGCAGTATGTAAAGGCAGTCACGTTGCTAACACCAATCCCCATTGAGGTGACTAGCACCGAAAACCAGACTAGCATTTCTTCTCTTCGCTCGTATAGGGGAAGATATAAATCAGCCCTTCTTCTCCTACATCCTTTCAATCAGAGGGCCGTTAAGTGTCCTTTCATGCTTGAGCTATGAGCTCAAGGCCTTCAGTAGTGACCAAAACGTGCTGAGCGGATGGTTGGGGGCTTAAGCAAAGTGAGTTGATTGGTCTCAGTTCCCAAAGAAGAGCTACTTACATCATAACGATGTACTGTTCGATCCATCCCCCTGTCCACAGCTACAACAGACAAGCCAAGAACTGAACAAGCCATGGTAATCCAACTTCCATCTGGCTGCTAAAGGTCCAGGAAGGGACACTTGGTGCATAGGGATGGACACGAGGAGGACATGGATAAGGAAAGCTTGTGCTTTTTCTATATGAGCTTTGGCAAAACAGAAGTTTGGAGTCTCCTAGAGTTTCCATCTTGCAGCTTCCTTAAGGTTTGGCAGTCATGTGAAATGCCCTTTTTATTTTAACGTCAAGGAAAGCCAAGTCCATCTAGAAAATACAAGCTTGAAATGAGACAGAGTTGAAAAATATAGTGGGTATTTTTATTGAGCACCACAGTAAATCTGCGCAGTTCTAAACACAAAGATCAGGCGCCGCGGCTTCTAGCACTGAATCAATCTTCGCAGCAAACCCCCAGCCTGTGAGAGCTGGAAGCAGTCCTCACTAACAAGCGCATACTGTTATATGAGAAGTGTATTGTAGCACCAAGACATGCTTTAAAACAGCACTAAACACAGCATGGGAAAAAGAGACAATCAAAAAGCTAACAGTGCCAATTTCCTATCAAGCTTTGTCATGCTGCTCTTAAAAACACTTTTTCCTGGGCAGAAATAAGAAATCAGGAACATGTATGGGACAGTCGACAATATTTGTACAAGCGTTAGGAACTTGATGATTGAAAGTCCAGCGTTCGTACAGATCTCTACAGCTTTCCATTGAGGCTGGCAATTCACAACCCTTACAAGAGCAACAAAGCACCAACCGAGAGGCTGACTTCTCTCTTGGCGCACAGTGAATATTCAACGGTTCATTATTTTGTCAGATTTCTTTCTTTACAGTCAATTTATCAAATTTCTGCTCTGCAGCTCCTATCTAGCAAACTCAAATCTATGCTTATCTATGCTTATTTATACTTGAAGTTCAAGCAAACAGATTGCTCAAATTAAGTACATGCTTAAATGCTGTTTGGGATTAGATGGCGGCCTAGACGCTTGATCTTGACCTTGACCTTGACCTTGATCTAGACGCCTTCAACAAGCAAGACAGCAAATGTCTAGGTCCAAAGAACCTTCCATCTCCTTGATCAGTGGTCACAGTGAGTGTTAAAGAGCCAATCAAAAGACTAGTGAAAAGTTTCATGAATATTATTACCGGATTTTCAGCATTTTTCAACAGTTGATTTTTTAAAAAAGAATTAAAAAAAGAAATCAACTGTTGACCAATTGTGTAGCTGACTGAAAAATATTACATGAAAAGAATTGCTCAATTATTTTTGGTTGTAATTTGAAAGCTCGATGGAAAATTATTTTTTTACAAAACGTTAAGCAATTCTCTGAGCACCATTCAGAATCAGGATCTCCGGTAAGATTTCTGTGATATACGGGTTGAGGTGTTTTGTGGTATTGGTGGACCCTGTCTTTAATGCAGAGGCATGTTTTAAAAGTAGAGATAGTAAAAGATAGTAGCACTTCGACAGAGTATTTTTAGACTGGATCTACAGGATATTATAATACCAAATCTATCTAATGGCAGCTAAGTTGGGAAAAGGAATTTTGTCCGAAAAAACAAGTGGAGGAAATATCCTTATGTGCCTAAAATAGGCACATAAATGTGCCTTTAATAACTTTAGGTAAATGCAGAAACTCAGCCAAGCAAATACAATCTAATGGATGTAGAGGTTTAGGAAAAGAAGGAACTGTAAACTCATTCCTCTGTATGGCAATAGCTCTGAGGTATGTGCCTCTACAAATAAAAATAATCAGCATCTTTCATCTCTGAGTTGGCTTCAGTCACATATATTATTCTATGCAAAGTCTCATATGTTTATACAGGCCCTGAGCTTGGTACCTATATACTTTGGAGAGCACCGACATGCATTTGCATGGATATTACAATATGGAACAACCACTCATCTGATAACATGCCATATTTATCTATGTACATGGGACATGGACAAAACGTTTGTGAAAATATCACAGCCACTAATTTTGAATACGAGTCAAAATGAAGAGTCAGAAGTTGGTTTGAGTGCATTATTCCAAAAGAAACCAAGCCGTTGCAGAGCCCCCTCCGTTTTAGTAACATTGATCACTAGAAAGGAAGTCTGGGGCCCAGACAGACATAAGGATTTGTGGAAGGAAGTACAAAGGACCTGATTTCCTCTAAGTAGCTTCCTATTTGATGGGGACTCATACTGCAGCAATTAATTTTCCCATTCATTTGCATCTCCAATTGGTGTGGCCACAAATTGGGCTGTTATAACTGTCAATACATAAGCTCCAGCACAGTTTGCGTTCTGCAGATCTTATTTTGCCAACACAAATTGGCATGTCCTAAAAATAAAGGGAAGACTTTCATGTTTCTCAAACACTCCAATACTTTTTGTGATAAAATGTTTGGGTGAACCATTCTGTGCGCAGGGGTGTAGGAAAGGCAATGGTTTTTTGGATCAATATCTGCATTTCCCACAGGTCCTTGGTGCTTAAATCAATCAGCTGCTTAAACTCATCATAGAAATAGCCTCTGCTTTGAAGTTTATATCCAGGCTCAGACTTCCTTAAGTCAAGAGGATTTAAGATCCAAGGTTCTGGCTTGGGCTCATTTCTTAGCTTGTTCTGGTTATAAATAGAAAAAGAAAGCTTTCAGGATTTTTTGTTTGTTGGTTTAGAAAAGGAATGAAATAATGTGGTACCCAGTGACAGCAGGGGGCTGGACGTAATGACCCACGAATCCTTTCCAGTCTCCTGTTCTGAAGTGATAAACTATGCAATGAAATGTTCAGTACTTCTACTTCCACCTTCGCCATGTAGGGATTTGAGACTCAGGGGAATAAATGCTGGCACAGCCTGTACTTCTCAACAGAGTATGCTGCAGAGCACCATAACAGACACCCCTCACTTCATGTTAAAAAACACACATGTACCTATTATGCTAAATTATAAAATGCTAGTGTGATTCACTGGAGGAAATCCATTCTTCAGAGTTCACTTTCATTAAGTAACATCTTCAAGGTATGCACACTGTTGATAAATTAGCGGCCAAAGTCTTCCCTTACAAGTAAGAGAACTTTTGAGCTGTGTTAAAACAACCTATGTGCAGTATGTAGGTCATTCCCTGTATTCATTGCACGTACTTCACAAAAATCAATCAAGCTGTAGATACCTAGAGCCTTGCTCTGAACTCATCTACATCATTTTTAGGCCGGTGCTACTGCTGATATCCATGGAAATGAAATCAGAAGCAGTCCTTTAATATGCATTACAGTGTGCGTGTCTACACATGCATTAATACACCTTAGATACAGCACATTTAGTTTAGTACTTCCTTAATAAAGTACTAACTAACCACTCAGTATTGAAAGTTATTCTGTAGTAGCACTGGTGCATGGTTATTTAGTGACGTTTACTGTGCATTAGCTTAATAATACTGCGCAGTAGGCTATTAGCACATTTTTTGCCATGACACACAACTACGCAGTGACGTTAGGCTAATGTGCAGTAAGAGTCTCATGTAGACACACCCAGCATGTACTCTTCTGATTTGAAAATGAATTTCAAAGTGATTAGCTGTGCTTCAGAGTGATTATCTGTGCAACACAGCATGGTCCGTTTGTAGAGGAGCTGCTTCTAAGGGCTGTGGTTTCTTTTGAGGGACTGAAACTGTCTTTCTTGCATAGCACAGTTCTTCTGTTAACAAGTGGCAGAGATCAGGGAGATGCTGAATGGACACCATTGGTGATGTGGGGCAAGAGTTCTCCTGTAGTCGACAACTATTAGGTATATCTTTCATTTAAAGCTTCTTATCACCTAGGTCCCACTGTGTGAAAAATTAAACAAAAAAGGCAATTAAAATCTTAACCACTGATGTGATGTTTTCATAGAACATGCCCCTGCATGTCCATAGGATCTCAACCACGACTCCCACCAAAGTTTAGTGATAAGAGATTTAACTCGTTAACTGATGTATTTGTAACTGGTGCCTTATTGCTGTCACTTCTCATTTTGAAAGATAAAGAGTAGAGAGGGTCAGGGTTTGAGAAAGATACATGTGAGTTAAAACCAGGCCCTAATATGTGCTGTATAAAACATGAGCGCATGTAGTAGAATTAAAAACAACCAACACTATTTGGATGCAAATGTTTAAGCTTTGTCTAAAAGATGTTTTGAAACTCATAGCTGCCCCCCCGCTAATTCTGCAGCCATTTTTCATCCTCAAAATGTATTCTCAATGGAAAAAGAAAGCCCACAAATGTCAGAGGTTCTTTAATTTTGTGCACGTGAACCAAAAGGAGAAAGCTGGATGAACTGCACTAGGAGTAGTTTGCAGAGATCTCTCTGCAATGCAGTCTGACCTTGGGAGGGTTAAAGACACCTCCCATTTGTCAGCCCAAGCCTTCCAGTGCATCTATTTCACCACTGTGTAGGAGGACCACTTTAAGTCCTCAGGTGCACATACTTTACCTGTCTTTAAAAAGCCAGTTGAAGAGCATCCATAAAACCCCCCTGGACTAGTCACGTAGTATCACATAGCTCTCAGTATCACATAGCTGTCCGTATACTTAGATGGTACTTACTTGGACATCTCTGTGGTTAACCTAAGTGCTTCTGCTGCTGTTTCACATAGCCGACCACATTATTGGAATTACTCCCTGTAGAACAAACCTTGGCACAATTAATTATGCCTTTTTTTAATGAAGAATCCTTTAAAAAAAAAAAAAAAGACCTCTAGCTCTATTTTGAATGAGCGCTGTGTTAGTTTGCAGCTCTTTGGTGGAAGTGTTGTACCAGTGACACAGTTGGGGAGCATATCTAGCCCTGGGTTATTCATGTCAAATCAGTTAGGAAGCATTGGTGTAACAAGGCAGGTTGGGACCTGAAATGACAGCTACGTTTTAGATCTGAAGTGTGTTGCACGCCTGAACTCAGAAGCACAGGCTGAGGCTCACAGGCCGTGTCTACACGAGATGCTGACGGCGCAGTTGCTACTGCGCAGTCATTTAGTACTTGCACACTCAAGGACTAAATGACGGTGCAGTAACCAGCATGACTGCACAGTAGTTCCCCACAGGGCTTCCTGGTGATGCTGATTGCACAGTAGTGCATTCCTACTGCGCCGTAGTGTCACATCACGGTTCATGCCCTGCGACGCTACTGCGCAGTAAACGTCTCATGTAGACGCAGCCACAGAGAAGCCTCTAAAGCATCACTCCCTATTATGCCTGGCCCCTTCCTTTCATAAACAGCCTCCTAAACAAACTGGCCCATGCAAAGCTCAGCAATAGAAAAGATTCAGTGCTGATGTCTTACCAAAATATTCCTTGTAGTATTTATGCCTTAGGTTGCGGCTATCTGGAAAGCAAGAAGATAGATTATGAGAACATATCTCTTGAACTATTTCCCATGGCTTAAATCTTTGGCCCAGTGCATTGCCTGAGAACGTCATGGGTGAATGACACTGGGGCTAGGATTTTCCCCTGATCCCCAACTTATCTGTAGCTGCTGCCGAGTATTGGTGTCCACTGGCCTCTGCGGAGCTCCCCCGGTGGATCCACGCAGCCACCGTTATCCCAGATAGTCTGAGCTTTACAACATCTACGCTGAACTTTATTAGTCATAAGGAATCACACTTTCTTAAATAGGAGGCGTTGATTAAAGAAGACATCGCTACCATCTCAAGACAATATCACTGGGTTCGGAGGCATGGGGGCAGACTAGTTATGGCGTCTTGCTATGGATCACTGAAGGCTGCCTCAGGTGTAAATTGGTACCTGGTCATTTGGGCTGGGGGAGGAGACGGGGGCCAAAGGCAGCCCAGCATGATGCTAACAACATCCCTTCCTTCTTTGTTGCTATCTGTCAAATCTGATGTGCTTTATTCGCATGAGTCCAATGGGTATCTAGGCTTGAGCGGTCTTCTGAGCCAACAGGTTTCTCTGCAACTCAAGTTTGAGCTTGGGATCTGAACACACATATATCTGGAGCCATTTCAAAAGGGCAGCAGCTGTTATGTTCTAGCTGTTCCATGTAGATAATTGAGAAAAGACACAAAACTGCTCCAACTTTAACCTTGGATGAAGCTCCAAAAGTATGTGCGTTCATACCAGCGATCTCCTTTTGTTTACCAGGATCACATTATACATGAAAAACTCCAGAGAAATTACTAGGACACCATAATTACAGGATCATATAATTATACATATAATCAGGGATCACAGGACATAAATAAAACAAATATTAAGGAGGACATTCAAAAGGAAAGTCAGCAGAAAATCTATAGGTTCTTTCATAGACAGGGTCCAGTTTGACGTCTCTGCAGCTGTTACTGTGATGCAGTAAGAATAGAGACTGCTAATGTTTTGAGCCTGTGATGATTTGTATCCTAGTATATGCGCATATCTTTCACGGAAGCTGCACACACTTTTACAGGTTGTAAAATGTCTCGGAAAATAAATCAGCCTTTCTGAGCTCCCTTGTTGGCAAACACTAGTGTATTTGACTCCAAAAGCAAGGACCCATAGTCAGAGGGCAGAAAACGATGTCAATCATGATTCTCTGCTGTAGTTTTATCACTTTAATGTTAAGGTTGACCATCCCATGCAGAAAGGAATAAATGTGTTCCTGCCAAAAATTAAATGGATGGACATGGACATGCCCATGTAGAACAAACATTCAGGGATGACTCCACAGCTGCTGTAAGTTACTATAGATTAAAGTCAAGATTTTAATTAGGCTACACTCATTTACATCAGCTAAGGATATGGCTCACAGTCCAAAATGCGATGTGCTGCACACAGAATAACAAACAGAGCTGCTATAAGGAGTTAGTTGTGGGACTGTTACTGAAAACTGCCAAGCAATTGCTTCCTTTTGAGCTCCATGGGGATACAAGTGCTATCACCTCCCAAGAGGTCCTTAAAGATCATGTAGAAGAGGTGATGTACTGACTGTGTCCTTTAAATTTTTCCAAGGCTTCAGTTTAGTTCTCTCTAATTTAAAGCATCTAATCTCTCATTTAACGTTTTCTTCCGAATTAAGTGATTTTGCTCCTTGCATCCTCTTGGTCTCAAGTATTGTACTTGGATGATGAAGCAAACATACTGCAAAAACTAGCCATAAAAACATATGCTTCAAATTCTGTCCCTGCTTTCATATTGGCCATCCACTGATCTTAAGCCCAAATCAATGGCTTGATCAACAGCATCATGACCACAGGACTCTTGTTTCTTGAAGCACCCACTCAATTGAGACACGAGAAATGGAGGGATGGCAGAGGTGATAATGTACAGCCTTCTCCATAGCAGAGGCCTTTCCTTTTTGGGGCTGGAAGTGTAATGCCTCCAGAAGCAGCCTTGAGGAGGGTAGAAAGGTCAGATTTGTGGCTAGAGAAAACTGGCATTAAAGATGGAGGAAATGCAAACCTAGGAACCCTGCGTTACCTAACCTGATATTTTGAAAGTCTCTACTTCAGGACAGAGGTGTCCCTCAATGTAGTCCCTTACAATATGAGTAGAAAGATGTTTTCTAATGAACTGACCAGGATTTCCACGTTGCTTGATACATTGTCCCCTGTTGGGAATCCCTTCGGCTGTGTTGCCAGGATTAATGATGTGGCATTCGTATCCTGTTGGACAATGCAGAGGCTCATCTCCATCCTCAGTAGTGCTGCAGGACTCAGCTGGAAAATAAGCCCCCAAGTCATAAACTTAGACTGTACTAACTTGGAGAATCAGACAGTAACATGGTGGTGTCCTTCTCTAGCCCCTCACACCCAGTAATCCCAAGGTGCTTCCCAAGCCCTGAACACATACAGAGAGGTTGGCAGAGAATGGCTTTGACACATCCCTGGAGCCTCTTGCCTCTGACAGTGGCCAGCACCAGATGCTTCAGGGCAAGGTGAAAGAACCCCACAAAAGGCAAAGGAGAGAGAAAATTCCCCCAAAACTATGCCTCACCTTTGCCTCTAGCATAGAGTAATTAGCTTGAACCCCAAGTCAGGTTTTCCAAGTCCTTCAAGAACTGTTGACTAGCTCATTCAACCCAAAAAGCAGGTCATTGTAGGCTCACTGCATCCACTTGAAAAGTACAGCAGGGTTAGGAGCCTTCCTGGAAGACTTCAGGCCTGCATTTCTCCATATAAACCTGCTTTCTACGGTCAATCACGCATGCCTGGGAAACACAAAATCACATGGGCGACTAACATTGAGGCCAGAATCTGAATGTCTGAAACCCCAAGGTCTAAAAGATTGGCTGAAGATCATTTAATGGACAATTAATTTACGGGAAGTCTCTTTCCAGGCTAACACTGATTGATTGCCTTTGTTACTCAGTGCAGATGAAGTGGTGTTACAGAGAAACTTGAGGTGCTGAACTGAGACCGCAGCCTCTCCAAAACTGCTTTGGGAAGGGATGATTGATCAACACTGAGCTGCATCTCACTAGGGTTGGTTGAAAGCTGGATTATCAGTTCCCAGGGGAAAGCCTGATTTTTTTTCCTCCCTCCTTTCGAAATGTTTTGTTTTGAAAATTTCTAAACAAAATTTGACCGATGGAGCCCATGCTTTGGCTTATCTGTAGCTGAGCCCCCAAATTCATATGAGCCTGACTAGCTGCAGGGAAGTCAAGAGCACTCCCAGAGTCTCTGGGACTCCAGGTTCCTCCCAGTCCCATGAACCATGGATGCCAGCCTCTCCAGCAGCCTGTCAGATGAACGAGTAGGAAACCTGCCTATGTCATGGATTTCATAGACATTAGGACTGGAAGGGACCTCGGAAGATCATTGGGTCCGGCCCCCTGCCCCAGGGGCAGGAAGTCAGCTGGGGTCAAAGGATCCCAGCAAGATATGAGTCCAAACACTTCTTAAAAGAGTCTGGAGTAGTTGCTTGCACCATCTCTGGGGGAGTCTATTCCAGGCCGTGGGGGCTTGGACAGTAAAGAAGTTTTTCCTCATGCCCAGCCTAAAATGGTCTTGGAGGAGACTTGTTGGATGTCTACCAAGAATATATTTCCACAGAATATTTCCATTTTGCCAAATTGGCATTTTTTGAAGATCTGTTTTGTTGGACCTTTCTCTGATCTGCTCTATAGCTAACTTGCATGTTTTCCAAACCACAGTCCTTTGTACAACAGTATCCAATAACCAATATTACACAGGTGATTAAAATGCCAAGAGTGACACAAACCGTACCTTGTAACACTTCCTCTGGTCCATCTAACAACCAACCATTTCCTCCCAGCCAGCGTGGCTTGGGTTGCACCAACCAGTCTAAAACTATTTTTAAAAAAGCACAGTATCAAGGATGAGCAATCATTGGACACACAGTTAGTTTTACAAAACTGATTTCCCCCACCCCGATCAGTACTGTACCTAGACCCCTGGCAGCCCCAAGCAAACTTTTAATATTAGGCCCCCCTTTGCCAGAGAGAATGAAAATAATAATAATAATAATAATAAAAAATACCATTTTCAGGCCCACTTTCTGTCTGGGCCCCGGGCGGCTGCCCAGTCTGCCCCACGCCCGTGTCTGGCCCTGCTCCTGATCAGGCAGCACCTCTTGGAAGGATTTAACTGGGTTTGTTTCAATAAGATCTGCCCTTGTTCAGATTGCCTCTAGGAGCAGCAGCTCCCATCAAGAAGACCTGCCTCATAGCATCACAAAGGTCGTAACTTTTGTTTCCTTTGGAGGCATAGTCTCAGACCCCCACTCCTCCCCCTAAACTTAAGGTAGGCTTATCTACTTTCTACTGCCTGCAATTATGCTGGACCTATTTTATTTGCCTCTTGTCAAAAATGCAAACATTTCTATCTGATGCAGTTGGATCATGCAGGCTGCTGTACCTGGAGGGGGTTGCACCGATTCTAAGCATGCGTAGATGCATCCGTTGTAACAGCAGCGCTTGTGTCTTTCACACTCTGAATCTGAGCGGCAGCTGGGCACTTCGCATGCTTGGTCCGGCAAAGTCTGGGGGGGCGGGGGGCAGCGGTCATTCTTCTGGTAGTGGGCACTGTGAGAATGAAGAGGGTACTCATAATCCTTGCAGAAGAGAAAAAGGGAGAACAAAGATTTGGCATAAGGAGAGTGTGTGGTCAACACCAAACACATTGTAACTTGCAATAGATGGGGCGATGGACAGGACTGTTCATATTTCTTTTTGTTACTGAATAACACTGGTGGTTTGGCTGAGGCTATTTGGGGAAGGAGAAGTCCTCCCTGGAACCCCACCAACCAGTGTGGGCACAGGATTTGGGGTTCATTGACCCTAGCACCAGAGAAGGCACAGTGTTGGGGGTACATAGGCCCCAGCACCAGTGTGGGCATGGGATTTTGGGGTGCACTGACCCTGGCACCAGAGGGCACGATCTTAAAACATCAGGGTGGTCTGGTGCACCTGAGGTGCAATTTCTTTTTTTTTTTTTGTTTGGACTGAGACGCTTACATCCCCTTGGCTGTGGGGCCAGTGGCCAGGCCTCTAGGCCAGGGAGGCTGGGCTCCAGATTGGAGCAGAAAAAAGGGCCACTAGCCTCAAGACAACAAAAGGCTAGAGCCCCATAGTCAAACCCTGTTTGGAGGGTGTAGACGGGGAGGCCTAGCTAGAGAAAGACTGGAGTCAAGCCCTGTGGAGGTGAAAGACCCCAACATACAAAATATAATAGGCAGTCTCCCACTTACAAGAACATCAGCATAATAGTTTCCATCAAGACGTGGCAGACGAGTAGAGAGCTGGACATAAGAACCTTAAAGGGAACTCCAAGGGCGCCCTATGTAAGGCGCAGATTAACAGGGAAGATGGTGCTGGGGAGAGAAACCTGTTACAAACCCCATGGTACATTCAGCCTGGGAAACACCTCCTTCCTTCTCCCCTCTACCTCCTACAGGAAGCCAGGAGCAGGAGGAACAGAATTTGTAAAGGATGGGAGGAATCTCCCCATTTTTTATTTTTTATTTTGCTGATGCTCCTTCAGCCTCAGCTTTGTCACTCCCCTTGTGAGTGGCTCAGTATAGTGGCAATAATCATGGCTCTGGGTCCAATGATCACACCTATCGCTACACAGCTATACAGATAGACTTGTAGCCCTCAGCTTTTGTGGGGCGCCATTTTATTTGGCACCAGCTGTCCCCTTGGATCCCCAAAGCAGTTGAAGAGCTGTGGTTCCCACCAGAAAGGAGAAAAGGTTTTCCCTGAGTCCAAATATGTTGGCTCAAATCCTCGCTCAGGCTCTAGCGGAGGAGCATACAGTACAACCCCAGAATGATGGGTATGCTCATACATACACACCAAACTGGAATGAAACCTTTCTTGAAAACTTTCAGCCTTCTGCTGTTGGTGTCTTGGTCCAGATCCATGGGCTGTTAGAGCAACCTGAGTGTAGCTCTTTCATGTAATAGCTGCTACGTACTGTAAGGCGTCAACTGGGGAAGTGGACAATGAAGGAAAGTCCAGCCGTGTCCTTTCCCTGACCACATACATTTTCCTCATAGAGAAAATTTGCTATTGGGTTGCTCTAGAGAGGTTATGCCAATAAGGTTAGCTACTCTATGGCTTGGAGTAATAAGGGTTGGCTCTGTTACTGAAGCAGTTGTTCTGTGGCTAGCTATGCCAGCCTTCGAGCCATTTTATGCCAGCA